ATATATAAAATTCTTAGAAAATTAAGTACTTCCTGGAGAAGCACTTTTCTCTGGGTCCATAAACCTAATTGCATTGGTGGTTTCAGGTATTCCAAAGTTAATTACTTCTGATATGATTAAAAGAGGAGCAGCAGTGATTGATGTTGGCATCAACCACATTCATGATCCTCTCACAGGAAAGACAAAGTTAGTGGGAGATGTAGACTTTGAAGGTAAGCCAAATTCCTGTGTTCTTAGAACTGCAAACTATTTTTTAATTAAAGAAATAAATCTTCATCTTAAGCTTTATTTCAAGAGGAATAAATTAAGTAAATGCTTAACACCAAGTATAATTAAAATTTAATTGAAAGGTTTTTTCCCCTGGATGCATTTCACCACAAATTCTTCTACTATCCTATGCTTGGATGTCTACAGATCTTCTACAGATCTCTTGCAAGTCTAAGACTCCAACATATGCATAGAGGTTTCCCTGCCTGTTTATGGATATACATTTCAGAGTTTATTTTGGAATCAAGACATTAATCCTATAGATTATTTGTGTATCTCCATTAATTACATTTAATTACACAGATTGTTTGTGTACCTCCATTTGTATACAGTAAAACCTCAGATTAATAGGTCTTGGTTTAGCAAACCTCTCTTATATAATCTGATATTGAATGATATATGAATTTTATGGCATCCTAGGGAATATTGTTTCTGGTTCATATAAATAAAATAGATAAAAAGGTATCTATATTTAGGGGTTACACATTTTGGCCAGTGTTACCCAAAATTTGTTGCTGTTAAAATAAAATATATATTTGGAAGTCATTTCTAATAGATTTATTATTCAGGTAAAATAATCCTGGAGTGCACTGTCACAAAACTTTAGTACAGTATATAAATGGGCCTTATGTTTGCAAAATCTTCAGTTGAAAGAACAAAAGTATGCTTTTATTAGGCTATTTTTGAGTAATTTTCTGGGATGATAAATCCTATTTGGGACTTTAAAGATTTCTAAGAAGGAAGACCTTCCAGTGCAGAGGATCCTGTTTGTCAAGGATGAATTTCATTTTAGAAGTTGAAGCAGCACTAAAATTTCTGAAGGAATTGCAAAATGATGATACTTTGTTCCTGCAGGGTAAAATTCTTAAATAGAACATGGTTGTTTCTTAGAACCTTTGAGACAAATGCTCTGAAATTAAATATGAACTACCCTTCTAAGCTGTTTTCAGAGAATAAAAGTAATACAATCTAAAATAGATGGTTGAGGTACCTAAACATGGTGGGTGGCCAAGCTTCCCTAGTCTCAGGGAAATGTCTAATCTATATAACAGTCTAATCTGAGTCTAAAATGTTATCTATTAGATCAATTTCTAATGATGTAATTACAAACACAGATTGGAAGTCTTCAAGCATCTTGTGAGCCTTTCTTCTTTCTCACTGCTCTGAGTTTTTTCCCCTTTATGAACATATTTAAGGAAGCCACGAGAGCTGTTGTTTAAGGATCCAGGCATTTGGTGGAAACTATTTACTAAAGGAAGAAGAACTCAAGTGATAAAAACTATATTTTTAAAAATCTGTCATGCCTTTAATTCTATTGGTGCCTAATGAAAATTACAATGGCTGTCTTTTTATCCTGTGCTTCATTACCACCACTACATTTGTTTTGTTTTTGTTTTTTGTTTTCATTTGGATCAGAACAGTGTTTCTGAAATTTAATGAACGTGCCTCAGTTTCTGCATTTTTTATAAAAAAGTTTTAGAAGCCAAAGTTTCTGCTTTGGTTTCAGGAGACTGAGCAACTTAGAACAAATAATGTATTGTTCCCAGTGTAAATGAAGGAACAGAAGCTATAATTTACTCAAGATATTATCATAAATCTGTGGTAAAGAAAGAATTCAACCAGTCCTTAGAGCAAATTCCGCAGCTGGCATCCAGGGGAGATTTAAAATAGGCAAGGTAGTGGTTGCGATGTTGCAGTTGAACCCCTGCCCCTTCTACATACAAAAGGGGAACGACTTCTGTTATGATGCTGAGATCACCATCTTGCCTGTTTTGACTCCCCCTGTGGATGCTGCTAAAAACAGACTATACTTGGGGACATGAAAATAAATCTGCATGTATTAACCCAGAGATTCATAATCAACTATTCAGCCAGTGGGAGAAACCATCAGATCCCGCCAAAGGAATATTGCATGTGTTTGAATCAAGTCTGAGTTGACTTTTAATTTAGTATCATTTCAGTTGGATTATATTAATTCCTAATTTATTTGAGAGTATTTGTAGGAAGAGACATATGCTGCAAAAATCCTGGAACTGGAAAACCATTTTGTGTTTTGGATGTATGTGTCTTTAAAAAATCCTGCTATTCAACTTCCAGATCTAGAAGCTACCAAAAAGAACCTATGAAAATATTGTCCATTGTTGGGGAGGATTGCATTTGATTACACATATTTTAATCCATGTTTTTAAAACAATTTTTCCTTTTTTTAAATATCAGAAGTAAAGAAGAAAGCTAGCTTTATCACCCCTGTCCCAGGAGGTGTGGGACCAATGACAGTTGCCATGCTCCTGAAGAATACCTTAATTGCTGCAAAGAAATTGATTTACTAAAATGTACAAATTGAAGTAATTCTATAGTTATATAAACATTTATTTTTGTTACAAATGTATTTATTAAAATGTGTTTATTCATGTCAGATTATTGAGAAGAGATTTATTTCCAAAACTGTTACAAAAATGTATACTTACAATGGAATATGCATTTACTAATTTAAAGTATGAATTGGTGTAACTTCTATGCATAATCCCAGTCTAAATGTTTGGTTCATGTTAGAGTTGTGCTGTTTTTGCAAAAGTGTATTGTCAACTGGATTTGCAAGTGAAACCAAAACCTGGGTCTGAGTTTCAGATGTATAATGCAGCTCTAGCAGAGAATAATAAAGGGCTCATAATCCAGTCATATTATGCACATGGGTACGGGGACACTCAAATGAATATCCAGAACTGTGGCAGATGCTTAACAGAAATGAATCAAGAGTTTATCTCTGGAAATATGGGTTTTGATGACTGAATATATTATTATATTCACAATTGCAAAAAGAAAAAAGAAAGAAATTGTGTACACATTTTAAGAATATGTTCATTAGATGCTTTTGATCTAATCCTGACCGTGTATTCATGTAAAAAGGAAAATGTCATCCAAAGGAAATGGCTGTGTTTCCAAGCAGTATTCATCTACCTCTAGTGGGTTTTTTACATCCAAGAACTAGGCATTGACCCAGTAAGTTAACCTTACTTTAACTCACAGAAACATCATTCCCTTAGCAGAACAAATGAGTTTCTATCTGGGAGGTACAGTAAGTTTTGATTAGTGTTACAAGTCAGAATGAATGTTCAAATAGAATACCTGTGATTGTTTCAAATAAAGCATATTATAAAATTTTTGGTTGATCATATGTTGTTAGGAGCCAACTAGACACTTAGCTACATTTCTTCATTCAATTGCTAGAATAAAGCCAAATTGGATTCTTTCAAATAAAAAATATAAATAATAAAACATATTTTAAATCCTCCTTTCTTAAATTATTCTGCTTCTAGCTAACACACATATGAGCCATCAGAGTTTTTAAGAGTGAAATGGAGACTCTTAGTAAAGTTTATCATTATCCTGCACTTAGTTAGATTTGGAATGTTGTATCATAAAATTCTGAACTGATGAATCGGCCATTCATCCCACACTTCATGCATCCATGCAGCTCAATGCAAAGAAAAACACCTGACAAAACAAATTTTCAGATATAAGTTATCATAAATGTATAAGAAAATGTGCAAGAGAATATAACTCATTTGTGGTGCGACTGTCATTCAGGTTTTCAAGGGAGTTTCCTCTTTCTGAAGAGCCACCTGGACCTAATCCAGTCTAAAAACAGAAGAGCAGGGGACTTCCAGTTGCCCATCAATAGCTAGACATTACCAGCAGATAACAGGTACACAACCACTTGGTCACAGAGCTCTCCACTATGGCTAGGTACAGTTCTATCTACATTACATAGAAATTATCAGAACACGTATCTAAATCAGTGTCCTCTTTTATACTTCTTTAGCAATGTGTTTTTTTTTTTCAACAATGCAAAAACGGTCACTCTACTTTTGTAGATGTTTTTCCCCTTGCTCTAGCTAGCCACTGGATAAACACCCCTAAGTGAGCTTTTAGTCCTTCACTCTATAAAAGAATAGTACAAAACATAGCTCCATAGAGAATTTCTGCAAAAATCTTTTCTGTATTTACAGTTGTGAGCAGTTTGATGGGAGTGAAACTCTAACTTGGCAACAATAGCAGGTGTGACTTCTCTTTGGGCAGAGTGGAAGAAGACAGTGATCTTGGGCCTTGCTTGGACTTGCTGTGATGCTTAACTGTGTCAGACTCTACAACCCTCTGCACACTCAGTCCAGGGCTCAGGTTGCTCCAGTTCTAAGCACATAGGTTGTTTTCAGCTCTACTCCATAGTTAGTCCAAATCCCAAATTGAGTAAAAGTTCTATTTTAACTATACCAAGACTGAATGTGAATTATGCCATATTGTCATCTTTGGAGAAATTGTTACATGAGTTCAAAAGAGAAGATTTGGGATATGCGGAAGCACTCTTTGCAGCCTCTCCATGGAAGACAAAATGGAGGGGGAAAGGCTGTGCATAAGTTTTTTATGTTAAAAACAAGTTAGAGAAAGCATGAAAAGCACGACTTCTGGAATTCATCCGAAGGCCTTCACCAGTAGTGCTCATAGGAAGTGTCTGTATTTTGTTCTGTGTAACTTGGTATGATGTGTTCTCTGTATGTTTCTACTTTCCCCTTGTGTTACATCTGTGTGCATTTGTGGGTATGCTGCAATGGGAAACACAAGCCAAGCTCCTTCCAGGCCATTCTGGGTCATGTGATTAGGAGAGAGGGCTTAGAAACGGTCAGTCAGCAGCCTTTGGCGTGGCTACTCAAGTGTCATGCCTGTAGAGATGTATCAGGAGATTCATTTTTTCCTAGTATGCATTTTTCTATGGCCCCAAGCCTCGTCTGGCCCGTTTTCTAATAATTTGATCTTTCTTTTGCTGGGTTCTTCCCCAATACCAAACGTCCAGTTCTCTCCAGTTTTTGAAGAGTTATCCTGGCCTGTAGGTAAGAGTCTCAAGCTCCTTGGCATAATTTCTTTCCAACATTCCCTTGCATTGGCAGGAATAAAAAGAGAAAGGAGGAATGAGTTTGCTAGATACACTGTATCCCTCAAGACCTGGCTATGTTATCAGGCCTGGGGGGGCCAGGGAGATTTTGCGATGGCTCCCTTACTAATATCCCCTCTTGTTTTGTGTGCTTTTACAGTTATTTTTTGTCACTGTTTTTATGTATTTCTTGTTTTTAATTGTTGTATGCTGCCCAGAGTCACTTTTATGTGAGATGGGCAGCTATATCAATACAATAAATAAGTAAATAAACAAACATTCTGAGATACAGTACTCAGTTTCTCAAAAAAAATAATTATTTGAAAACACCTGAAGGCTTCTGTTGGTAGCATTTGGAACTGGTAAATCCTAGGACGCAGTGCGACCATTGGCATGTTCATGGCATTTTATCATTTCGCTTATACAGTCTGAAAAGGAGCTTTATGGGGTGACTTTCATTTTCAAAAAGGAGAGGAAAAATGTGAAACTTTTAAAAAACTTCTTATAATTTCAAAAAGAGGAAAAACAATACTGATACAAATACACATTAATTTCGTATTTTCATGAGATTGCAATGCCTTTGTTTTCAAAGAAATCAACTTTTGTTCTTAGAACTGTGTCCTTGAATGCATAATTATACCCAGAGGTAAGAGGAAGCTTTTTAAGCACTGATCTATTGTAAGATAATAGATTCCTTTTAAAAAGGGGGGTCTAGTTATTCTGAAACGTCAAGACTAGTGTAAGATGAACAGTTCTTTTTGATTGATAAGCAGTGACAGCTTATTAATATAAAACAGCCAAAGCAGAAATATTCAGAAAAGAGAGAGAGGAGAAAATAATATATGACCTTGTGCTTGGTATGGCTTTGGGAATTTTAATATATGTTTTAAAAGGTAGGTTTGCTCTACTTCTATTATTTTAAAGAATGATTAAGGATCCAAAAATCTGTCATTTAATTTGGAGATTAATTTAGGCTTTAGATAACTGAATATATTTGGAAAATTAATAAATGGGAATGAATTTTTCTTAGTTATTTGGTGTTACTGTAATATGAAGAAAATATATTAAATACACCTTTTTCTTTCTGTCAATACAGTTGATTCAAATAAAATCTTTATTACAGTCATAGATCAGCATAATATAGTTGATGAGATTTATGAAATTTCAAAATCTCTTCACTTTAATTCACTTTCACAAAATGTATGTAGGTTCTTACAGTAGTACCAGATCTATTAATTTATATTTACAATGCAATCTTATATCCACCCATAAGTACATCTCATGTAATTCGAAGAATATTGCCCTCTAATAAGTATACATAGGATTAGAGTCACATAATCTGATACGGGCTCTAAAATCCCGAAGACCATTAGAGATATAGAAAACACTCATTGGTGCTATCTAGTGGCTGTCTGGATCCGGTCAGGCCAGATCTGGTAACACCAACTTTATAGCATAATCCAATTCAGTACGTTTAGAAGTCTGTCTAATGAGTTCAGTGATGTTCTCAGGTAATGTTATTTGATACTGCAGGCTAAAGCAATTAAGAAACAGATGACTCAAAAACGCTTAACCAGTTCTTTCTTCACATATTTAAATATTTGCTTTACTGACAAAACTAATACACATACCACAAATTTTCCACTATATTTGGGGGGGGGGAAGGTAGTGTATGTACTACGAGACGAGA